TTTTTTATTATTCTCTCCCCCATCACACTGGGGAGGGGGAGAGTGAGCAAACAACTGTGGTGTTTACCTGCCTGCCGTATACAATATGACTGATAAAAAGTAATGATCTCACTGTGCATTTTTATCCCAGGCAACAATTTCTTCAAGTCAACTGTTCCTGTGAATAACTTCATCATTCATTATTTGTTTGACAGCCATTACTACACTTTATTTCTATTAAAACTAAAACTAGAATGAAGCAGTTTAGTCTAGTGCATGTTCTCAAGTCTCTGACAAGCAGGGAAGGAAAACCTGTTCTTTCATGTCCTCACATTTAAGGGAGGAGCTGCCAGATTCCAAGAGGCTTCTTACCATACATGCATTATTAACTTTTCTCCCAGAATATGGTCATTTGGCTAGATACCTCAGACTGGTTCTGTTCATAAAGGTCTGTGACTTTGTCATTAGGTACAGCTTATGGCATTTTTAGTGGTTCCTTCAGCACAAGGTTTAAACAAAATCAACACAGCACTAGTTAATAGTAATAAAATATCCTCCCAAACAATACAAAGACCTGCTCTGGTCTTACAAGCTGTAAGGTTACAATTCTTCCTTGCTTACAGAACAGACGTAGTTAAGATTCACCCAGCTCAGACAGTAATGCTGATATTTAGGTATAGTTGCAGTGTGAATATACGTACATATAGAACCCCTATTTTCCTCAAGTGCTTGGAACAGCTAAGTATGGAAATTAGAATAATGTGTATTTATACTTTATAAAGACTTCCGATGCAGATAAAATACTAACTTCTCATATTACTCTATAAATATTAATTATACAGTGTTTTTAGTTAGATGTTGAGATGCATGAATATTATTAAGTCAGCTCAAGTAAATAATATCTAAACACAAATACCTACTTTTGTTTTCTGTTGGAACAGTAAGGTATGTTTTTGCTACAGTCATGCATGATTTTAGCCTGCAGTCACGTTAAAGCTACCAATTAAACCTGTTAAATGGAGCAAATTCAAATTTACCCTCATATCAATCCAAAATAAGAAATCCTATTTCTTGACTTATATCACTGAAATTTGAAGAATCAACACACAGAGGTTTATTTTACCTGAAATTGTAATATTAACACAAGCTACCAAGCTATTAAAATGTTAGTGTATTTTAAACTATCAATCTGTGCTTTAGGTTACTTATTTCATGGTGATTTACTGGAAATCACATCTTAAAATGCACCAGACTATAGCATTTTCCATGTCAGACTTAAGCATATTTCTATGGGCAGTGTCCTCTGGAATCTCTTTAGTATAATTTGGCCTTAAATTCCAGCAGACTTCTTGTGCTTCTTTCAAAGTAAAACTTAAAATCATGAAATCCCTTCTAGTAAAGAACACCCAAAAAAGCTAGCATACTCTAAATGACCATGAAAGGAGTGTGAACTCATGGCTCACATCTATTTCTAATTTAAAGAATAGTGTACTTAACTGTTTTAAGCAAAGACATTTCATACCTTTCTTCACATTCCTTTAATGGTGCCAACTAAAAAACAAGCTCATTCTCCATATTAACAATCCAGACCAAGAATAAAAAGGATACACCCACTGCTTTATTAAAGGTTGGATGTCTTTGCCAGAGACATTTGAGATAGATTTCAAAAACCCAGATGTGGAAACCAACATCTGACTCCACATGTGTGACTGGAACTTCTGAGATGAAGCAGTGCTGGCCAGACTCAACAACTTGTTGAAAACCTAAAATGATAAAAAGTTATTACTTTCACTAAGTACTTCAATATATAAAATAAGCTTTTCTGTTTAGTTGCAGCTGAATTGCAACTAAAGACCAATAAAATCATTCTCTGATAACTGGCCTCGAAAACAGTCTTTCAAAATAAAGACATATCAGGAAATTATTTGCTCGTCCATATCAGAAATTGTGATTTGCAGACACGGAAGTATTTTTACTTAAGGCAAACCATCCACGATGCTGAGGAAAGCTCTGAACCCCCAGCTTCTTCACATGGGAAATGTTTAACAGTAACAAAATTAAAACTAAAAATGTCATCTTTGCTCATCACTGCTACAGGTACAACTTATGCAGCTTTTAAACAGAGTTGAATTCAAAGTGGAATACAGAAACACTTTTTGGCATCCATTTTCTAGTTCTAAGCATCGCTATACTTCACAACCATGTAATTTGTGAGGTTAGTCACTGCAAGCAGGTATGGCCTTTATTTACCAAATTATAATGCAGAGTAGTGTGTTTTTAATCAATTCTTTCCACCTGAGCTTTTTCAAAGAACCAACTTCCTCAAAGTTACAGATATATACACAAAATCCATTAAAAGACCATCAGCTTTCAAAAATTATCTCCAGTAAAACAGATCACTGACTATATCTGCTTTTAGAAATAAAACAGCCATCAAGTTCTCTGCTTTGCGATTCCTATTTAAAAATGGCAAAGAATAATTAAAATTTATGTAAGGAAAGCTTTAAAAAAGGTGGGTCTGCTTTACTTTCAACCTGTTAACCTCTTATAATAGATCTAACACAAGCACATACATGTTGTCCTTCAAAAAACAGAACAAACCAACCAACCACAAAAAACATCCAAAAACCTGAAGCTGATAAGAAAAGGTACCACTTGGTTTCTAACTGTGTGTTTCTTTATAGCACCCTATCTTTTTTAAGACGTGTCACAAAACATATTTAGTAAAGAAGAAAAAGTGTAACTCTGCAGAAATTTGGCATTTCAGAATAAAATTACAGTCATATTCAACTGCTTCTTCTAATATAAAGATCTATGCTCCCTCTAGCACTGAAAATTTTATACAGTGGAGAAAGAAGCTGGATCCTCATTACTTTCATTATTTATAATTTGATTAGATTAGCTCACAGCAACACCAGTGAAAGTAAAACAGTCCTCAGTGTTAACAACCAATCACAATAAACCAAAGCAATGAATACCTTAACATTAAAGAGAATATGCAATATATAAAAAGTTTACAAGTTATGTATAAGAATAATAGCTAACCTTATCGTAACACAGAAGACCTACATTTTACATTTGTTCTATTCTGCTAAAACTGAAAATACAGATGGAATCCTATGATGACCTGTTTTGTTCTTTCTTAAATGCCTTTTAATAAATAGAAATGCAGCTAAAGACAAAAAGTTGTCTATATTCTACATAATCATGTATACACCTACCTGCAACATGAACTCCATGCTAATCCTGTTCTCAATCAGTCTCATAACAAGATGTGCTTTACACTGGAACATAGTGTAATATTCCCAGGACAGCGTATGAGGGTGTTTAATAGAAAAATGTAAATGTGATGCAGGGCTGAAAAATAAAAATAAAAAAACCCCAGCTCTCTATTTTGCATTTTATGGAATGCAACTTAAAATACACCTTAGCAACCAAGATTATAACTGCACCAACGATTATTTAGGATCTGTTCTACTACTTTAAAGTTATAAATTATAACATGCTTAAAATGACCGCAAGCTTGTACAGAAAGGTGACACGGGTGCATGTACCTGGCACACAGCAAGTACTGTATAAAGAACAATGACAGGTAATACATGCTGTGTATTACTGTAAAGACAGTGGTAGCAGTAGCAACCAGAGCAAGGAATCTGTGACTTGAGTCTGGAAATTAGTCATGAATTGACATTCCACTTCCATTTCCAAGTGATTGTACATAGTGAATATCTTATATTTATATAAATAATTGTTGCAATTGAAGAAAAGTAAGAGGTTTAAAATTCACAGCAGACTTTCATGAGATGAGCCAAAGGAATTGTTTGTTTTTTATTTTAGTTAGCAACTTTATGCTTTCAATACTCTGGCAAACTGATGACTTCTAAATCAGAAAACATGCCAAGGAAGACTAGGCAGAGCATCATGTTACAGCTGCCACACTGTTTCCATAACTTGAACTATCTGTGGTGCTCCTTCACACATACCCTTCATGTCTATAAGCAAAATATTTTAAATGGTTTCATTTCATTCTATATCAGAAGACAAACAAATGGTGAAACCCTGAAACTTTTAAAAACAGAACTGATTTCTGGATAGCCTTCGTGGCTGTACAGCAGTAAAACACCAGAAGACTTAATTCTGATGAGCTTTAAAATTAATTTTCTCCAGGTTTTACATTTCAGAACACAAACATTCTGACCTATAGCCCAGTTAGTACAAAAGTAGCTGTAATACCATAATTCTCGAGAAAAATAAGACATTTTTGCCCCCTTTCAATTATTTGAGAACTGGACAGAACTAGAAGTCTGATGTTATTTTATTGATGAACCAAGTCTGTGGCAACTGGGCTATGTTTTTTCTTTTAGTTCTTTTCACAGGACATTTGAGTTTTCCATGAATGAATAACAAACATCTTAAGAAACTGGACCCACAGTCAAGCCAACTTCTTAAGAAGTGGGAATCCAGACTTATTTTATGCTGGTTGGTGGGAAAATCACAAATTGGCCATTGTGACATAGAAAATGCCAGCTACTTAAAATTTCTGGGCTCAAAATTGGATTCTTCCCCTGCGATTCTCGCTTATAGATAACCTAACTAAACCATTTCCAGATGGACCAGGCACCTGATTTGTCCAAAGACTTTAGAAGACACTGCAAGACAGAATGAAATAATTCATGAATTGTAACGATCAAAGATAAGCGCTATAAGCCTAATCTTTCATGCCAGCTACCTTCAGGAAAAGACTGGTCTCCCAGAACCTTCAAACACCTATTAAACAAACCCTTTTAACTTTGACTAATCTTTCCATGCAGCTGAAAGACGTATGCCAGCAAGAAGCGTTCTACCAGGACAGGATCAGCACTTGGCTCCTTATCTGCAGCTTTTAGGATTTCAGGAGATGGCAAGAACCAAGGTAGCTGCAACACCTTAATATTTTTTTCCATCCTTCTATTTACTGGAAGACTCCCGTGACTCTACTCATGAATGTCTGTTTAAATATCTTAAGAAGACACAAAAAGAAAAGTATTTCTAAGTTTAAGCAATACTATCCTTCTTAGGTATACTGAGTATATGAATAAGAAGGTACTCAGGTTTACTACTTGCTGTTTCTAGTTGATAGGCAATTGCTAAAGTTCTTATCAAAATTGTCCTGTTATTTTGGGTACTTCTCTATTCTGAGGCAGGGAAGAGTTAGCAACCATGGAAGAATTGAAATGCAAGGAGGAAACTGAGGTTGTGGCTCAGACATTATATAATAATTTGGTCTTAGTACAAAACTGTTTATCCAGCTTCAAATTATACAGTTGATTGACTTTGGTAAAATTCTTTTCTTGAAAATTACAACCAAGCCAGGACCCACATTCTTGGCCTTCTTACATTTGCTAAGTGTTGATTGATTTTGGTACTGGTTACATTATTTAACTGCAAATCAAAACTGAGACAAGTTTGCATTTGACATGTTCTGTAGTTCATTCAATATTAATACATTTCTTCCAATTATATTTTTCTTCAGTCATTGTACTTCTAAAACTTTTATTGAATTGGCACCAAATGAGTATTAAAATTAGGAATATGGACCTAGAACCTTTGTCAATGTGAAAATTGAACTAGCTCTTCCATGGAAATTTGTAATGCTCATGCTCTCAAACACATTCTGGTCATTCAACATAGACCCGTCAATATGCTTCTTCCATTTCAAATATATCTATATAAATTTCTTGAGGTTTTTTAACTTTTACAACAGGGTGGTAACAGCACCATCAAAGTCTGAAGAGAACCAAAATCTGAGAGGGGAGAACACAAAATGAAAACATAACACATGAACCGTTGTTTTGAAGCTTTCATCCGTACAGCAGCTAACCTGCACTTTCCTTTCTTTCATTTTTCTGAACTCTGGGTTTTTTGCTTTTAAAATAAGTGCTCTGGAGAGCAGTGTTTGTGTTTTACCAGACATAAACAGGAAACTGTGAGACCTGTGTTTTGCACAGAAATTAATTCATGTGTCTGAAAAGTTTTTGTCCCCCCAATGATTTCTTTCCATATTCTAATTTAGTTGAAAAATGAGATTATTCATTAATCTAATTTTTTCTTCATATTATTATTAATTGGGACTGATGTAATGCAAATATGCTTGGCAGGAAACCATATAATAACAACCACAACAAAGAAATGCAAAAAATATATTGGAGAGTAACGTTCTAGACATCATTATGAAAATGCCTCCATAAATACCAATCATTTCCCAGAGTCAGGAACATATACTTAGTTTACATAGAAGGGAACTTTGCAATCGACAAGAATCAGCAAGCTGTAATTTATATTTAAGCGATGTTGTTATTATTATTAACAAGCTGTAATACAATGAAGTAGGGAAATAGCTGTAGAAACATACAGTGTCTAACAGTAATACATCACATAGAGGAAACACACATTTAAGAGCATCAGAACAGGATTTTGTCAATTATTTGTGTCCAAATCTAAAATAAATACAATAAAACTAATAAAATTAACAGTTAAAAAGACACTTTTATTTTAGTGCATTTCCTTTTTTATAAATGTGCCCTTTTTCTCTAGCTTGATCTGATCCTATAAATCTGAATTTAGTCTCTCTGTGTAGGAAAATATGTTGCCAAATTGTAATGCTGCCAATTAAAAAGCCTGCCAAGACCTAATTCAGTACCCCAAATTTTCCTTAAAAAAAAGACATCACCATCAACATGATGCCTAAAATGACACACCTAGCTGTAACTTGCTTTGCAGAGGTATATGTAACAAAAGCCTCTAGGTACTTGGTCTGCTTCGCTACTTGAAAGAACAGGACAGTGAACTAAATCAAAGTCCATCATGAGCAGGCAAGCAAAACTGAGTAATGGCTTGGCCTGCATACACATACACAAACTGCATCCGTGACTGTCACAGCCAGAAAACATGGTAGTTGTTGAGGATTCACCTGGCTAGGAAACTCGCCAGTATGTCCTATTCCTAATTTCAGAAAACACTTTCTTCTTTTTTCATCTCAAAAAAATATCACTATTCAAATTTCAAATGGGCTATTTGCATACTTCTTTCAGTTCTAAATCCAGAATTTTAATTTTAATGAACAAAACCTGGATTTGCACACACTCAAAAGCAAGAGAACCACTGCTGCAGACAATTTAGGTTGTATTTTCATAATACAGGGGCTTCTGATGCAGTAAAGACCTAAGAAATTCACATATTCTCCCACTCCACCTGCACATGCTCAACGTCACAGTTTTGCACATGCTGCTCATGAGCTTCCAAAGAGCAACTCTTTGCGAGGCTGTGTCATAACTAGATTAATTTATCCAAGAAAAGAAAAACCCAGCAAAAGGATGTCATTGAAACCTGGATCAACTCACTGATCTGGCTTCTAGCAATACTTTTCTACCGCCGGTGGTTAGCACTAGGCAGTGGGTAGTACAGGAGTATCACAAAAGATGTAAAGGGAAAATTCCTAAGCTAGCAATACTGAAGCTACAGTTATTGGGAAAACACAAACCCAGCCAGTTCACAGTTACCAATGGTACTTCACAGATGACTGATCTAGTATTTTTTTTTCCAATTGAAAAGAAATCTCAGTATAAGATTGCAAGGTGGTAACTGAGAGTGGAAAGAAAAGGAAAACTGATGATACTGTAAAAAGCCTGAAGATTACTAACCACTCCAGAAATAGCTCAGGTCAAAATTCTGGCTCAATATTCTCTCTCATTCTCTTACTAAAAATTAGTGTCATAACAGCATTACAAACATTCATTACACTTAATTCCCTTCAAGATTTAAACTGAAAGAAAAATAAAACAACAGTGACACAAAATACTCAAGATGTACTTTATGAGACTGGTAATACATGCCTTGGGCAGCTGATTCTTCAGCCTTTGGCCTTGTGCTACACAACACACCCAAGGCATATATTAATGGCCCCATAAAAACATACCCTGTAATGACTTGTGGCTTAAATAAACATACTTGTCTTTCTCTTTTCCTCCTCCAAATATTGGATGCAGTAAAACTCCACCAGTCTTCAGTTCGTATGCCACTATTTGATCTAACTCCTAAAAAGTACAACATACATAAGGAAACATAATTTTGAAAAGTTGAGAAATTATTTAAAGACAACAGGAAAGCTTTTCATAGCATTATTCAAGCCATACCTCCTAATTAAACTTGTTTACAAACACAAAGAGCGTTTTAAAATCAGGGATATTCCTCAGCATAGCAAACAATAATAAAACAGTAGAAATTAGCAGTTAATACTCGTTCACGGTCTGGATTGTGGGTCAACCCACAACAATATTTAACTACAATATTTCTAACGAGTATTATAGTTCAACAAATAAGTTGTCTCTGACCAAAAGAAAGGTGATTACCATTTCCTTGCAGTGGAAAGTAATACTGGGCATACCTACACAGTAGACTGCAGCATATAGAAGCTCACCTTGACCCATCCCCAAGCCAGACAGAAGCCAGCTCTGAACTGGAACATGAGTTTGAATTTGTGTGGTGCTGTGCCCATTTAACAAGCACACTTCAAGGCAGGATGTTTGCACAAGCTTACTATCACCCAACAGTCAACACGGCTTTTGAATCAAATTGGGTCAGCTTGAGCACAGGGAGAGTGAATTGACGTCTGTCTGCAACCCAATGTTAGTCAAGGAATTTCCAAATGTTGATATGTATTGATATTTATTGATTCATATCAACTTACACACTTTCACATATTGATAATACATTCAAAGCAGTAAGGGCAGAATTGGGAGCTGCGATAGCAGCACCTCTTAGTTCTATGTGGAAGCACTTAACTAACTCATAGGGAAGAACATAAGCAATATCCAGAAGCAACTTCTGCTGCATGCAGCAGTGAAGTCTCAGGTAGACCTCCATCCAGTTCTGCTGTTCTCTATAGCACCCACAGCTTTAGCACCCACAGCACACAACTGGTGAGCTGAATGTACGTTAGGCAGATAAGGATATGGTATTGAGTCCCCATGTAAGCAAGGCATGTAAATGGAGCCCATGGGGTTAATAATCTAGTTTTTGGAAGAGGAAGGGTTAAGAGAATGTGAAGAGAGAAGAAGATATACATCTTTCTGTGAATTAATGTTACTGGCAAAGAATGAAGTGTCACTGCTACTATCACTAGAGAGTACCTGTCTCAGAGCATTATTTGGAAATGTAAGAAATAGACAGAAATCTCTTTTCCAAGAAAGGAAATCCCTTAAACAGGGATTTTTTTACTGTTTCATTATTTCATTTAGTATTTAAATGATGCTAAAAGATACCTGATCCACTACTGATCCAAGCTAACACTGGAGCCCTTCTGAGCTATATGGATGGCCATCACAGTATAACAAATTCACCAAACATATCTCCTTATGAATCCCATATCCTATTCTAAGTGTTTGAAAAAGTACAATCTTTTTTGACTTCTTTCTGGTTTTGTGCAAAAGCCCAAACACAAAGACGAAAAGTAACTGCACAGAGACAATGAAAATTATTATTCATCAGGCAGTCACAGAAACGTATTTTGATTATTATGTTCGGTGTTTTTCCTTGCAGCAAGTGGTAAAAATATTTTACCTCTAAGTTTAGTAGTGCCAAAACATTCCTTTAGATTGCAGTGCAAAACTATATTATATTCTGGTTTTATATTGCATCTTCTTTGATGTAAAATGTCTGAAAGATACAGAAATACTACTATTATGTCGTTACCTGTTTAATCCAGTGGCGATACTCATTAACACCAAAGGTTTTTTTCATCCAAAGGCCATAAATATAACCAGAGATTCCCTTTAGCACCCATTCATCTGACCTATAATAAGAAAGAAGCATGAATTACAGCACTTCAGATGGTATTTTGTAAGGAGTGGTATTTTTGACGAGCTCAAAATAGCCACAGATTTCAGCAGGTTATATAACTTCTCTAAGTCAATAGGAGTCTGATGAGCTGTGAACCAATTTATGTAACTTGGCACCTGGACGGGACTGATGAAACTGAAAAGCCAGTGAAAACTGAACTTTTACCACAGAAGCCCAGATTAAAATATAAAACTAAACCATGTTAGCTGAAACAGTAACAATAAAACAGAGTAAATGGACACTGAAGTTAAAACAACTGCTAATCTATATGATCTTAATTTCTTGATAAACATCTTAACGCAATGCAAAAGATTTGAACAGCAAGTAGACAAAATGCCTATCTCGCAATATAGTGGACATTCACTTAAACACCTCTTTTGAGAGTTATGTTCTAAGAGAGAAAAATATGGACAAAAACTATAAAATAATCATGAAATAGAATTCTAAACATAAGAATGACAGAATATGATGAAATGAATAAAATAAAGACACAAAGGGAGTCATTATGAAGGAGGAAAAAATTGTCTTCACAATGGAAGCAGACTAGAAATAAGGAAGAGAGCAAGAGAAATTGTAACAGTACAAACATCAATTTAAAAACATGCTGGTTTCTTTTTTTTTAAGCCAAGGATACTCTGGGACATACACTTTTACCATGAAAAAAATAATGGGTTCCTTGCCCCTGATATATAAAGTGCATGCAAAACGCTTTAAAATAAACACTGATCAGAACTGCAAGAGCCAGCTGGGGGAGGTTTTCTGAGGGATGGAGTTATAGGCAGCTTACCACCGCAATGAATTTGCCCATTTGACAGTAATTTCTGCATTCCCCTCCCTGAACTTCTTCGTAATTTATTAGTTCTGCGCTCCACAAGTACTTCCCATGCAGGCTACACTTCTTCATCCAAAATACGACAGAAATTTACTGATGATACAAGAGAGTCTCCCCTCAGAATTTCCAGGCGCCAAAGCACACTACAACGTTCAGTAGCAACGACTTCTGAGAGAAGACACGTTCAATCTCTACAGTCTTTGGAACCTTTATATCTCACATCCCCCCTCTCAAACAAAAAAATCTCATGGATTTTCATTTATTGAGCTGATTTTATTATTCCTTTTTTTTTTCTTTCTTCTACAGTTACTCTTTCACTTATTATTCTGATAAAATGCAACATGTAAATTAAAATTTGAGTTTCCTAGATTTTCCCCATTTTCTAGAGAGTACAATGGTAAAATACTTACCAGGACATTCTGGATATAAAACATCCAAAGAACTGCTGGGCCAGGGCCTGTGCTAAGCACCTCCTTGTCAGTGGAGTTTCATCTATAATCATTGCACTGTGTAAGAGATTTGTGCTGGACCCCCATAAAAGGAAAATAACACAGTATGAGCCAAAACAAATAAAATAATTCATTCGCTGGTTTTCCAATGAGATAGTAACATCTTTTTTTAAATACCCTTAATCCAGGCAGATCTCCTGCTATTATCATCTATGTACAACTCTCTGTGTAGAGCTAAAGTAGTTTGTTTTAAATGCCGAAACTCTTTCGGATTTCTGGTACCCTATCCCAGCTGAAAAAAAATAAAACATAATCAAACTTCTGCACTTAATTTGATCTTAAGTATTTCATATGTGGTGTTTCTAATTCACAAAGAAAACCACTGCCAATTTTTTCTTAAAGAAGATACAAATCCAACATCTTTATAACACATAAAATTGGAAATGGTGTTAAAAGCCTTGTAATGTCAACAAAAGCCAGCCTTTTCAAACTAGAGAGCCCAAAACTCAGACTGTAGAAATAATAAGAGCTTCATGTATTTCTCAATAGTCTTGGACCTACAGCTTCTAAGCCTGTGGATTTAGAAGGCGTAATTTTCTCAAATACTAACCTGAAAATACTCATGGATGCATAAGCAGCTACTTCAACATAAGCTTCATCTATAAAAACAGTCTTGAAACAGGAATATGGATAGCGGCAAGTAAGAATCTCCTCATAAAATTCAAACACTTCATGAAGGTATGACGTGGTATGTTTGAGCAACGGGAGAAGTTGTGGTAAGCAAAAATGAGTCACCTACAAACAAAGGAAAATTTGGTACAAGACTGATGAATATATTTAAATCCATAAATATCAAGTATATTGCATAACAGAAAAAACCCCACAACACAATAAAAATATAGCTGCTGTAAATTTAACAGAACAAAGCATTCTGAAGCTGTGATAATGACTATCATGGCAGAAGAGTGCACCAGCATGTCCATCTTAATTGCGAGAGCAACAACGGGAAAATAATTTTAGCAGCCAACACACAGTAACAATGTCTACCTAGCGATGTCTATAATTTAAAAACACATGACGTTTTTCTTTCATTTTGCAATCCAATGTCTTTTGGAGGTAGTATTTTTCTTTTATGCAGTAAAGAATTAGCTATTTTCAAATCAGTCAAGCAGTGCTACTGTTTAGAAGACTTCTTACAGCTAAAACTACGAGTAACCTTTGATATTACTGGTTTTTCCACAAACTTATGATGCAGCCAATGACACTGACTTCCGCAGTGACACAGGAACCAAGTTAAGAATGACATATAACTTCAATTCGTCTCTATAGAAGTTAAACTCTACCGAAATTTATCAGTTTGGGTTTTTCAAATATCAACAACTGGTTGTTTTTTTTTTAATAACTATTATCTTTCACAAGTGAGTATGTCCCACCAGTAAAAGTCAACAGAATACCATTGCTGAGGACCAAAATCTGATGTTTGCCTTTGGATAAAGTGAAACATAGCTATTTCCCAGTATTTTCCTATCATGCTTTCAAAAGAAGAATACACAGGCCAGTCTTTATGATGAACTGGTAACTTAATCTGCCTGCCAAGTCCATCCTTACCCCATCTGAAACTACACATATAAATATTATGGCAACAATCTGTGAAGAATGAAAACTCAATGTCAAATTTAGTTCAAAAGACTACTCAATTGTGTAGCACTAATTCTCATCTACTACCAGCAACAGGATGGGTTTAAAGCTATTTTGAGAAATATGCTGTTACCAACTCCAACTAAATTATCCCCCAAAATTCAAGCATAAATAGAATTATTGCTCATTCAAAGGCTTTACTTTGGAGATAAACTTAAATACAGGCATTACTAGACAAGTTTTATCATATAACTGTACTAACAGAGGTCGCATCTAGACATACCCATATTTGACCAATATATACTGGTCGCAACATAAAAATAGTCACTACTACTTTACAAAAAAAAAAAAAAAAAAAAAGTCCTTTCATGTTTAAAAAAAAAAAAAAAAAAAAAAAAGGCAGCCTCTATGAATATTATTACCTCATGCATGTATGGATCAACAAGGATTTCAAAAGGTCCTATCGCCAAGGAGATGTTCGAAGCTGCAGTTGGAATAGTCAGCATATAATGAAAAGTCTTCTTTCTCATATCATGGGTATATACAGTTTCCACCAAATCTCCGTTTGAAACAGCCACCATTGCAGCATCTACAGTATACTCAAGTTTCCAGGTACACAACTCAGAATATGAATCAACACAAGGAAACCAAAATCTAGGGAAGTTAGGATTGGGGGAAAAATGGTTAACAATCATACTTCTCTTTTTCACAGATGATTTTTCTCTCAAGTTCCAAACTATATTCTTAAATACTTTGCATGTTGACATACTGACTCCTACTATACATTAATTTTATAAAGCACTACAAGTTTCTTTGCCATTACCTCCTGCTGAGCTATAAAGACTAAAAATCCTAATTACTAATCATTAGATGCTACTTCACATCGGTAAGCTCCTTTAGAGTATAAATTAAGTTTTAGACTTTTTCAAAATTACAAGAATTCAAAGAAATTATCTGTATTTCCTACACTTTGAGATTAAATAGGAAACACAGTCTAACATTCAAAGACGGTTTTCTTACCTTGTAGAATTTTGATAACCACATGAAAAGACATGAGCCCCTCTTTCTGCCATGCTGCCCTCCATGTTGGGTACCACAAAATGAAGGCCTCCTTTTGGCTGGTCCAGAGAAAAGTTTATATGCACCTTCAGGACTTTCAACTCTGCCATAGCAAGATCAAAATTACAGTAAATACATACAACTCCCATGAAAGTTATTTCAGAATAGTCATTCAGTTTTGGACTCTTGGTCTTTCAAGATGATGTGTTTACTTCATTCTCATGGACCTCCAGGTCCACTTACAAAGCACAGCTCGAAAGCTTACAAAACTGAAACCTCTTAAGCTTAACTTACAGGATATGAATTTATGAGAATCTTTATTAATGAATACAAACTGCAATTGGAGTTACATTTCATCTTCCAACTCCCCAATAGTAAAGAATCTTTATACAGTGATTGTACCCTAAACATGATCTCCTTTGTACCTTGCTGAAATAATTTTCTACAAAACCTGCATGTAACAGGCACATTCTTAAAAGACATGTTATTGTAATTTGCAGTTTCTTAAAACCTCTTATTATAGTTAAAGCTTTTCCTGTAACTGAAATGTCCTTGCTTTGGTTTAGTTTCACAGAAATCTCACCTATGAATAGGCTGGCAAGAAAAGAAATTCAGGCATATGGTGAAATTTATCCAACAAATCTCACCATATTTTGGCATTCAAACTTTGAAAACAAAAATTACACCTGTTTGAATATTTTCATTTTTAGGCTTGCAAGTAACACAACAGGAACTTAAACAAAAATTAAAATAAACAAGTGTCTTTCCTATTGAGGTGTATCTGACCACACTGTGTGAGTCAGTTTCATGATATAGTTGTTTTTTCTCTCACAGGTCTCACAAATCCACGGGAAAATCTGATAAAACCATATAAGAAAACCAATACAAGAAACTAATAAGATCCATGTAAGAAAATAATCAATGTTGAAGGGTAATTTATTAAAAAAGTTACTTGTTCCAGGATCTAGTACACCAGTTTATACAGTAGTCTACTTTTCACTATTGGATCCGTTTTAAACCAACCATTCTTCAAAGTGAGATGGGAAAAAAATTAATATAACTTTTTAAACAACACTTATATAGGCATATCGTTGTAAATTCTTCTCTTTGTTGGCTCATGCATATTGTAAGCAGCTTCAAATAGTTACAGTTTAGCACCCACAATACTGCATTACACCCACATCCTCATGTATACTTCTGGGCCCATGAACTCCCCCAGGAGTCTGTTTGTAAAGGCTGTTCAGAAACCTTGCAACCACTTCTCCATATTACCAAGAAGTGCGCAGGTATTTTTCAGATTTCGGCTGGGAAGATATAGGTGAGGAAAAAGGAAACAGTAACCACCATTTCATAATGTAATGCTATTTCTATTTGTATAAATCTACTATCTTCCTATGCAAACTCACAGTTGCCATAGCAACTCTATGGCATCTTTAAGCTTTCAGTATGGTCTCTTTACTTTACCATCAACATGTTTCCACAACTCCGAGGGAACCTTAATGCAGAGTTCTCCATTTCCGGCATCTGGGTCCACAGCACTGACTGCGGCAGCGTAGGCATTGGAAAAATAGTTGAGATTCCTCCTGTCAGAAATACCCAGTTAATTCTTAAAGTACATGCTGAACTACAAAAAACAACTTCTGAAGTTATAGGATTTCTACACCGAATTTCATAGTGCATGTTCAACCAAGTATTTTGTTGTGTTTTTAAAGGAGTGAAGGGAAGAAGGAGTAAGGATTAGATTTTGAAAACCAGAACTTAAAACTAGGTTCTTACAGAAGTGATTCATGATCAAAAAGACTTAAGCACTAATAAACCCCAGTAAATTAAATGAGAAATGTTTGGTGCTCTTTACTTCCCAGTAAGAGTAATATTTACGCTTACTGGAAGAGCAATCAAAAATTCTTGTTTTGGAAAATTTTGGATTACATTTGTGTGTTTCTTCTAAAGATCTGTCTTGAAGATCTGCTTCCTCACATATTGTAGTTTTGGTTTTAAGTTGCTTTTCCAAATGTAGTAGGATTTTAGCTTGGCAATGGTATTTTCCCCCCTCTTAGCTTGATGGATAGGAATAGTTTTATTTTATGCTCTTTTAAATATCACATAACGTACTAGAGTTTTAGCTTCAATACGCTAAACTACAGAAACACATACTGTACTTTTTACTCCCTAGAAATAATTTTTTAAAAATGTTACCGTAATTCATTTTTTTAGGATGCAGACACAAATTTTTGTAATCAGGTTTGAGCTGCTCAAGCTACTTGTGGTGCGTTGACCCTGGCTGGATGCCAGGTGCTCACCAAGGCCACTCTATCACTCCCCTCCTCAGCTGGACAGGGGAGAGAAAACATAACAAAAGGCTCATGGGTCAAGATAAGGACAGGGAGAGATCATTCACCAATTACTGTCAGAGGCAAAACAGACTCGACTTGGGGAAATTAGTTATTTATTACCTATCAAATCAGAGTAAGGTAATGAGAAATAAAAACTAAATCTTAAAACACCTTCCCCCCACACCTCCCTTCTTCCCAGGCACAACTTCACTCCCGATTGCTCTACCTCCTCCCCCTGAGTGGCACAGGGGGACAGGGAATGGAGGTTGCAGTCAGTTCATCACACATTGTCTCTGCTGCTCCTTCCTCCTCAGGGGAGGACTCCTCACACTCTTCCCCTGCTCCAGCATGGGGTCCCTCCCACAGGAGACAGTCCTCCATTAAATTCTCCAACATGAGTCCTTCCCATGGGCTACAGTTCTTCATGAACTGCTCCAGCATGGGTCACTTCCACCGGGTGCAGTCCTTCAGGAGCAGACTGCTCCAGCATGGGTCCCCCATGGGGTCACAAGTCCTGCCAGCAAACCTGCTCCAGCATGGGCTTCTCTCTCCATGGGTCCACAGGTCCTGCCAGGAGCCTGCTCCAGCGCAGGCTTCCCACAGGGTCACAGCCTCCTTCGGGCACATTCCCCTGCTCTGGCGTGGGGTCCTCCCCGGGCTGCAGGTGGATATCTGCTCCACTGTGGACCTCCATGGGCTGCAGGGGACAGCCTGCCTCACCGTGGTCTTCACCACGGGCTGCAGGGGAATCTCTGCTCCGGTGCCTGGAGCACCTCCTACCCCCCCTTCTTTACTGCCCTTGGTGTCTGCAGAGTCGTTCCTCTCGCATACTCTCACTCCTTTCTTCGGCTGCAGATGTACAGTTTTGGTTTTTTTCCCCCTCTTCTTAAATACGTTATCCCAGAGGCACTACCACCGTCGCTGATGGGCTCGGACTTGGCCAGCAGTGGGTCCATCCTGGAGCCGGCTGGCATTGGCTCTATCGGACATAGGGGAAGCTTCTAGCAGCTTCTCACAGAAGCCACCCCTGTAGCCCCTGGGCTACAAAACCTTGCCACGCAAACTCAATACACTACTACATATTAGCTGCTAAATGATTGCACATTTCATTCCGAAGTAATACCAAAGTAATTCCAAAGTTATGGCTTAGATTAACTGTTTTCTACTGAAATGTGCAGGAACATGCATGTGTCTGCTATTACAGCAGTTATGAGCAGGAAGTTGTCTTATTATTTAATGTGATTACATTCAGGTACTGGAGGACCGACCAAGTCAAGTTCAAAAATAACCTCAGTTTTGCATCTTTACACTACAGCTTTTATACTTCTTCAAAATAGATTTTTAAACTCTGTAAACATGGAAGCAACACTTAATTCTAATCCTCTAGTACACAGAATTCTTCAAAAGCTTGCACAATTCTATACCTGAAGAGAAAGTGTTTGAATTACTGATCACCTTTTTTCCCCAGAATTTTGAGCATTTAGGTGTGCACCACTGATGAATCCAACCATTGTGGGGGCAGAGCTGCAATCAAGCATAAAGCTATCTGCAGTGTTACTGCACCACATTGGAGTAAATTAACTTTGGCTGTCGACTTCACTCTTCCATGGAATCTGAAGTCCACGCAAAGCAGACATGATCTCACTTCAGGATTTTACTTTCATCTAACCATTCCCTATTCACCACCCACAGAGAAAACAGCATTCAACCTAAATTACAGTACCTTGCTTGGAGGAATGGAGGGTAATTAACCATGCCAGGATCATCCTATAAGTCTAGGTATGTCAAACACCATGCTTATATTCCTAGCCTTCCACATCTAAAAAAACCTGCTAAAACACTGAAATATATTGAGAACATATTTTCATGCAGTTCTTGATCTTTGGCAATAATAGTGCAAAAATTCCCTGGCACCACTACCTAGACTGAGAATGTTAGGAGCAGTAAACTCGTCTACTTTGCTTGGAAGCTTCTGAAAATAGGACGTGAATAGTAAATGGGAGCATATGAGCATAGAAACATCCAAAACCCAAGTTTTAATACATAATCATTTTTAACTTTTTCATAGCTGAGGTGTACCTAAAGATAGGATACAATGCCAACAAGTTTTAAAAGCACAAGGTTGAATTTGTACACTAGAATATACTATAACTTTGGCTACGCTTCCAGACCAATTCAAACCAACTTAAACTCCAGCTGATGTCTGTCTCCAGCCACGCATTCCTACTCCCTCACTAAGGAGACTACTGATCATCCAACCCTGGGGTGATGCAGCTGAAAGTGCCAAATGAAAAAAAAAAAAAAAAAAAGCCTTTTTTTTTTTTTTTTTTAGGCAGCTTTCAGTTGGTTTAGCTCCCTGACCTGACATACTGAGGGGTCAAAGAGGTGCTGCTACTGAGGCATGGGAGTCTGTCAATGGGATCATAACCACCCCAACTGATGTTGCTTTAAGCTGTGTTCAAATGGCATCCTAGGAAGGCAAGCAAATACCATTGGAAAAACTCTCTTTAAAAAAAAGACTGCATGACTAAAAACTACCTTAGTAATTAAAGAAACTAGCAACAGAAAACAACAGTAACATTCTGTTAAGATTGTAAAGTCTTGAAGTTCTTCATTTTAATCGAAACTGGTTATGAAAATTCAGAATTACTGATAGGGGATCCCTTTCCAACACATCAGTGAGAATTTGTTCCAAGTTTGAGGATCGTGATGAGCTTGTGGTTACATTTTAAACATCAATGGGTTCACAGACAGGAAAAGGTTATGATTTTACAGCAAGAAAGGTAGACTCCACAGGGCTTAACATTTTATGGAAAACAGTCTATTCTGACATTTCTATTTTTGTGAACTGTTCCAATTCAAATGGGTGATTCATTGTAAAAGGAATCCATTAAAGGCTTAGTACCAGAGATTAATTTTTTCATAGGTTGAGCTATTCTCAATAAACTGGATATGGCCATTTTAACAAAAACAGAGCTCATGCCAAAAGTTACAGCCTAAGGAACAAAGATAAATTTTCCTAATGCTAAGTATAGATTGACATTGAAGAAGTAATATGCATTCATGTTTTCTCCTGGTAGGGATACATTTTATTATCAGAATTCACCCAAAACACTTAATTACAGCCCAAGTGCCTACTTGTTGACTGACTAGAAACAAGCGATCCTGTAGAGACTTATTTTTTAAAGCTACTCATTGATTCCAAATACCTCCACATCAACTTTCCATAGCACATCTCACTACTAGCTGCAGTGGTGCTACTTAACTGTTACACAGCCCAAACATATAGTCTATAAACCACTTTCTTCCTACAGTATTTAACATCACCTTGGCAAAATAAGCTCTTTGATCCACATGTAATTCATTACTCTTCGTTACCTATAATTCATTTACTACCTTACTTTGCTTCCCAGCTACAATTACCACTTGGTTTTGGAGTCCAACCCCAAAATATATAAAAAATATGCTATATATAATATATGCTATATCATAGGTATACATATATTGAGTATGTACACATACAGATAATTTATGAATAAGGCAATGAGCTGAATCTTTGGCACACTGAAAAACTAGTTTTCATTCTTGCCCAAGGTTAAGGGCTTTGCCATCTCTTTCTTCAAAAGTTCTCTACACCTCTGTTTATTTCTAACAAGGTCTATCGTGAATTTATAACTAGATAAGCATCATACCAGTGGAAATGAAGGCTATCTATTGCAGAAAAACACATGCTCAGTCCACCAGTAATGTTTCTATTTTGTGCATAGGCTAAAGGCTTGATCACTGACATGTCAGAAGAAAGAATATTGCAAGACATGCCCTGAAGGCTATCACATTGCTCTCCCTCACAGCTTGCTGCTGCTGCTTGTAACTAAAGCAACAGTAAAGTTGGAGGCTATCAAAACATCTTCATATTTTTAAAGTTTAAAAACTACAGGCTTCACGTTAAAAAAAAGCTGAACTAGTGAATGAACAGGTATATACTGCCAAAGGTTAAAGTTATGCTGAATAGAGTACTTATGCACAGGAAAGCATTATGTGCACGTTAGCTATAGAAAATCATACCTTCCTTTACACAGAGTAATAATAAAATGCAATAGCTTCTCAACCCTGCACCATAGTTGACATACAAACATGTGAAGCACATAACCAAGTGTCCTGGTTTCGGCTGAGATAGAGTTAATTTTCTTCCTAGTAGCAGGCATAGTGCTGTGGTTTGGATTTAGGATGACAATAATGTTGAGAACACA